CCCCAAAACCCCAAAACCCCAAAACCCCAAATAAACTCAAGCAATAAATATTATTGAAAAAATGTGCCTAAGTTCTTTCCTTGCTTCTTATATTTCCCAAAAACTGCACTCTCACTCACCAGACTCGCTTCAAAACATCACAAATTACAGAAATCCCTAGAATAAAGTTCAAACAAACCAACATCTTATTTTTCCTGATGATATGCTGCCTCTTAAGCGTTAAAGCTAAGTAAGCGATCTAGATAATTATATCTTTTAGGATCGATTGCTTTGCAGTAGATGGATTCGGACAAACAGACTGAGCCAGGACTTCTGTTAATTTTGTACCAAATTATAATTTCATCACAAAAGATATCTCAGAGGGTGACACCCATGTGTACATAATGGCAACCAATGAAATCCAGTCTCCTACCTTGTTTCTAAGATACAACCCAGATGCATTCACATGGAACTGGAGATTTATGATACAGAACAACAAAATCTTCGAAAAGATGCGGGTTACCCCCAATGAGAAGTATATAATCACTTCTTTGTTACCCCAGGATTCAGTTATCACACAGGCCCTATACATTTATAAAATTGATGAGAAATCATTAATCCCTTTCCAAGAGATTTTTAGGTATGCGATCTTATCCAAAATGTTAAGTATTTTGAGTTTAAAATCACCAAGGGCAATATCTTTGATAGTTCTAAATGTGCTATAGAACAAACTCACAAGTTGTTAAATCAATTAACCACATTGAAGTGATCAACAACACGAATTTCTGTAAGATACATGATTTGAATGAGAAAATCATTTTTATTTTATTCATTTTATTAACTTTATATTAAATTCTTATTTTCTGGATAGGGTTTGTTGCGGAAATGGACGGCTCAAAAATCCAATTAATTTCTTGGGATATTGAAAGCAAAAGTGGTACTACTTTGCTCGAGTTGAGTACAACAGGACATAACTTTGGAGAAATATACTACGATTCGATAACAAATTCTGCTCTAGTAAACAAATTGATTAACAAATAGATAATGTATCAGATCAAGGCCACTAACGCTTTAAGATTTGGGGGTACTTATATGGGTGATAACACTGTTTACAAAAGTGTTGGAATGGATTGAACTTCTTCAGCTTGCTCGATTTCTAGATATACTCCAAAAACTATTGATACTGCTAACAGCATTCTCTACACGGCAACTAATTATGATTCATTTTCAGTGTTATTCTTCTCTCTAAAATTCAAGTCAAATGATATTATCAACGGAAAAACTTTTGCTTCTTCATCAGGAAATTCTGCTGAAAGTAAGTCATAATTTAAAGATTTGTGCTAGTGATATAAGATGGTAATGAGAGAATTAACTATATCTCTTAAGGTCATCTTCTACACAGCCTAAACACATCCTCAGCTTCAATTTCTAGAGAAACTTTAATTTTTAAACAAAAGCTCACTTTTTATAAAGCTCAAAAGCCTTAAATAAAATACTTACTTGATAGAAATAATTTGAAACTACTTATAAATTCACAAATAATTTGAAAACTAACTTTATGCAGGTATTGAGAGCCTTACTCATCATGACAAATTTATCTACATTCTATTCAAAACTGGAGGTTCAGGTTCAAAATCAGTGCTTGCAAAATATAGCATAACAGATCAGAAATTTACAGAGTACTTAGAGACAGATTCATCTTATATCAGAGTTTTCCATAAAAATACAAGGTATTCTTCTTTTAATCAACCTTAGAATCTTCTTTGCTGGAAATAAGGGGGAAGATATAGCTGTAGGATCTTGATACCAAGGTAAGAAAGATACTTCCAAAACATTGGTGTCATGAACCATCTCTTATTTTACTTTTGTGTAGACTTCAGTACTTCATCATTTAAGATCGAATCTGGCCGGACTCAACTCTCAACAAGTACAGATGAGTTGTCTCCTTTATCAATAAGCTCTTCAGGGTTTGGTGAACAGTCTCCACAGGGTTCTATTACAACTGATATTGATCAGATCATAGCTTCAGAAAATACGCAAGAGGTAAGCTATTTGCTATTTCTGAATGGCCTTGTTATCATGACTCATAGAGAGTAAAATTATTTGAAGCTAATTCAGAAAGACAGTCCATTAAGAAAGGATCTAATAGCACCATCGAAATTTGCCTTCCTTACTCTCATACTAACAATAGCGACTTTAAGTATTCCTTCAAACAGATTGAAGGAGATAAGATGAATTATATATTTAGCTACGATCCTGCCACTAAGAAAATTAACCTTGAGAGCAAAGAATACTCACTCGAAGAGAAAAATTCAACTTTTAGAGCAAGTAAGTTATTTACAGAGCTTATTCATCTCTATAGCTGCCACTTCTCAAAGTACTGGGAATACTTACGAGACAGACTTTAATGTTAATGAAGGGATTGACTCAGAAGATCCAGAAGTAGCTGAGCAAGTACAGAAGAAAATTATTTTATTTGGAGTGATTATCTCAATCTTTGGTGCCCTCATCGGAGGAACTCTTATACAGGCAGCTTGGATAGTAATAAATCAACAGAAATTACTCCTATTCTTCATCTTGATAAACACATATATGGATGTTCATGTGCGACTGGTATTGACAATACAAAGCTTTGGACTTTTCAATTTTAGCTTTCTAAATGCTATTCTTCCTGATTTTATTGCAAGTCCTTCATTTATTGACAAAATGAGTCAAGAACAGGAAACTGAAACTTTGGAGGAGATTGGCCTCTCATTTCAAAGTTTTATTAAAATTTATTGGATCTATGTACAGGTTTTTATGTTAGTAATCATTTTCCACTTAACTGCAAGAATATTTTTCAAATTATTCCCAATCCTTAGAATTTTATACTCCCATGATGAGAAAGGAGATGTAAATAACAAAGATCTAAGCATTCATGAAGAGAACTCACAGAATAATTATCAAAGAGGAAGTATCAGCAACAATGAAATAATTCATGAAGAAAGCAAAGATGAAGAAAACAAAGACGAGGAAAGTAAAGATGAAGAAAACAAAGACAAGGAAAGTAAAGATGAAGAAAACAAAGACGAGGAAAGCAAAGATAAAGAAAAATCAAAATCCTCTGATCTCCAAGAAGAAGGCGGAGGAGGAGAAAACTGAGAATCTCCATTCAAACAATCTTGAGCTTTTCAGAACACTAATGGACACATTAATGCAGAGGATTCTAAACTCCCTAACCTAGACCTGTCTGGACTCCCTCTTAATGACGAGCCAGACTACCCTGAAGAACAAAAAGCTCCTTTAGAAGAACAAAAAGAAAAAATTCCTGAACAAATTCCCTCAAATCCAGGTGAAATTGTAGTTGCGCCTAAGAAGAAAAGGTCTTTATGAAAAATCTTTAAGAATCTCTTCAAGAGAGTGATTCCATGGGTTCTTAAAACTTTGGACTCTAACTTCTTCTATCATGTCTATTTCAGAATGATAATGGAGTCTTACATGGGAGTCATGATAGTTACAGTCAATGAGATAAAAACAAATGGAGGAAGTAGTTCATCAGAAATTGTCTCACTCGTTATTGCTTATATCTTTTTCTTGATGTACTTGGCATTTTATGCCTTCATCTGCCTCATTTGTTATCTCGAGTATAAGAAAAGAACATCTTATTATGGAGCAAGATATGCTACTGAAGGAGAAGGATACAGGCCTAAAGGTAATTTTTGAGTGGAATAAGCTATAGATGCTGAGAAAAAGTTTTATGGAGAACTATTTAAGGATCTCAACACAAAGCCTTATGCTGTATTTCATCAACCCCTGAATCTTGGTAGAATATTAGTGATGGTATTAGGAGTTATGGTTCTTAATTTCTACGATAATACTACTGTATGGGCATTTTTCTTAATCATCTACTTTCTCCAAATCGGAGTAGTATACCAAGCCAAAAAGTATCCAAAATTTACATGGTGGCCTCTGAAGATGATTTATTTGATTAATGAAGTATACCTTTTACTCTTTGTTGGTATATTCGGATTGTTAAGATCGCATCAAGACTGGGAGAATCGTAAATATCTTTTTATCAATATAGCAATGTCAAAATCCCTAGTTCTCACATTGATATTTACAAACACAGTCATTGTCTTGTTCTTTCAAATTGTAAGCTTTATCTTATTAATTACAGTGTGGAAATTATATCCAAACCAAGAAAGTTGTGAAGGGTAACACTCAGTTCTAACATCTTTAGATTTCAAAGACTTCATCCTCGAAGAAGATATTCCAGAACCAGCTGAAGATGTAGAGCTCTTTATAATACGTTTTAGGAAACTGACGACAGAGTTATTATGATGGATCAAAGTAACTTCCTATTCAAATATCTTCCTCTTCTAGCACTTTCGGAATTATATAAAATTTTATAACTCTCCCTTTTCTTTAGAAATTCAGTGGTCTCCAAGATGGAGAGGAAGCAGACAAGACTTGCTAAGACAAAATACTGGATTGATAAATTTATTAAACAGAAGAAACCAACCTCCAGCAGTCGAGCCAGAGCCAGAAGTTAGATTGCCAGAAGGTACTGTATAAGTTAACTTCTTAATGCATTAGAATTTTTAATGCCAATAATTTGAGAAATACATTGAATTATTGCTAAATTAATTCGACTTATATATCTAATCTCTAAAATTCATAATTTCTAGTCAGAAAAATGTTCAAGGAATCAGTAGAAGAGCAATTCAAGAAATGTAAGCTAAATCATGTTTATTTCACTGATTATGGAGCATTTGTTCATATAAGTTTGAGTAAAGCAAATATCTTTTAAGTACCAATCTTTGGATGAATTAAGGCTTTCCAAAGGATTCTATAAAGTTTTGGAATTAAATATGCAAGAAGGATATTATCTCTGATAACGTGTATCATATTGATAAAGTTAGAATATTTCACGGCTGGATAATTTAGATCAAGATTTTATTCATTTCGTGTGTTCAAATGAATTATAGATAAGAAATTACCTAAAAAGTACCTAGCAATGATGAAGAAAAAGGAAGAAGAGAAAAGAAGAATGTTTGAGTTACAAGAGCAAAGAGCTAGCTCTCAATCTAATTATAAAAATGAAGCTAAATCAACTGGAATTATGGATTCTAATAGTAAGTTTCTAATTATTTGATCTGATCTGATTACTGTTAGATTTTTCTCCTATAAAGAAAGAAAAGACAAAGCAATCCCCAGAGAAGCTTTTCAGAAGCTCAAGTCCTTCATCTGAAGAAAGAAAAAGTGATCATTTGCCTCCGATCAACAATAAGAGGGAAACTATTGTCCCACAAGAAATATCTATTCAAACCAGCCCAGAGAAACTTCTCGGTGATGCACAAGATATTAGATCTAATGACCCCCCTAGGGCGCCTCCATTCCTCTCACTTGAAGGCCCTTCTGGAGATCCCTCTGCTAATACCCCAGAGAGCAATGAAATAATAGAAGAAGTCAAAATCAGACTCGGAACACCAGTAAGGGTCCGAAGAATTGAAGACACAGATCCGGATGGTATTGATAAAAGAATAGTGGAATTCAGTAGATTTGATAAGAAGTTTTAACCTTTCAATACCTATTCGTGCTTCTGGGGTTTTGGGGTTTTGGGGTTTTGGGG